TGTAAGTAAATTAATTTTTACTATAGAAATTGGATAAATTATAAATTTTAAAAAATTTTTATTATTAAAATTAGATTCGTAGGTAAATAATGAGTATCATTCTATTTACTTTCCAACTTCAATATCTGCTATTTTTTGGTGATAATGAGGTTAGCAATGATGAAGATTCTTTATTTTCTATTCCTAAACGCTTTCAAAATAATAATGGACATGACGAACTATTTAATTATCTTAATAGTTCATCAGAACCAAGAACTATAAATGTATTAGAATGGTGAAAAAATCATGAAATTAATTATCTAACATTATCTATGATAGCGTGTGATTATTTATTAATACCATCTACTAGTGCGTCTGTAGAATAATTATTTAGTCAAAGTGGCAATATAATTATATCAAAACGTAATAGACTTGGAAGTGATACAATTTGTGTGACAATGTGTCTTAAAAGTTGGCTAAAGTTTTAATTTTTTTTATGTATAAATTTTTTGTATAATTTGAGAAATAATAATGGTTAATAATAATAAAAAAAAGAGTATCGGGATAATAGTGCTTTTTCTTTTTGAAAAAAAATATAAAGTTCTAATTGTGTAAATGTTATTAAATATAAAAATAAAAAATATAAAAAAATTTAACTAAAATAAATTTTTATAATGTAAATTTAATTAATTTTTTTAAATTGAATGACCGGTTGGTTTGGTTGGAGAAGGTAATATGCCTTTGATGAAGGCTAAGTAGCATTTACTTTATTTTTTACTTTATATATCCATTTTGGGATTTTCTTTAATTTATATTATGAAAATGTTTTTTAATAAATAAATGCTTTACCACATCTTAAAAATATATATATATATATTTAATCATTTTGATTCAGTTTGGTTGATTTGATTTGATTTGATTTGATTTGATTTGCAGAATCCTAATCAATACTTTATATGTGTCTCATCTAGCAATCAAAAGATAGCAAACAGATTGTAATATATTTTGACAAATAATAGGATTGCAATTCGGCACTTCATGTCTCAACCTGACAATCAAATAGGAATATAAAGGTAGAATTGCAAGTAAATTCACCTAACTGGAACCCATTTTTTTGGTATAGTAAATTATAATAAATTCAAATATTCTATAATTATAAGCTAAAATTAACTAAAATGAAATTATGTAATTTGATTGTACCACCTGACTACAACATGCTAACATAGCATTTTGGTCACAAAAAGGTCACAGAACATTGAAATAAGCAGATATTTAGAAGGCAATAAAAAGGCATAAAGCAAACTTCTTAAATAAAATTATAAAGCATTAATATTTATGACTTCATAATTTTTATTATCAATGTTTGTGATTTTATAATTTTTAGTTATGAAATCACAGTAAGTAAGTAGCAGTATAGCACAACTAGATGTTGCAGGTTTTTAAGTCTTATAAGACTGCTACCTACTTAAAAACCTGTGACATCTAGTTGGAACTAAGCTAAATAGTGCATGTATAAAGGATATGTATTTATTTATAGTGCATTCATTTATAGAGAGTTAACTGTATATAGTAATCAAATTAAATATAGGTGATTTTGGTTTGAGATAATGATAATAATAAAGTATATTATATTAGTAAAAAGACTAAATTTAATTATTTAATGTAATTTTTTTTAAAATAAAAAAATATATTTGAAAAATAAAATGAACAGTTTTATTATAAATAGGCGAGTTTAAAGTTAGTTAATATAACATTTAATATATAAATTTAAAATACAATAAAGGAAATGTTTAAAAAAATTATCGTTTCACATGTCTTGGAGGGCTTATCAGCAAATTTCACCGTCCCATGTGATATGTGAGACTAAGATACCCATAAACAATTTTACTATTTGGGCTAAAGAAATTTGTGATGTACTGTACCACGTGAAACGATAGAATTAAAAAATTTTGATTTCGTAAAATCCATCTTTCGATGGATATAGATTAAATTCGTACGTTGACGCTTACAAATACAATCAATGAAGTCTTGATTCTACGTAATATCGAAATCACGTGATTGAGAATTTTATCTCAAAAACTGGTATGTATGACTTTCTGATAATAAGACTTTTTTTTGATCGGGCTAAAAAAGTGATCAACAAAATAAGTTTAATTTGTTACGCCAATGCATAAAACAGATTTAAGTCTTCGAAAATTTAATCTTTAATCTTCAAGATCATATTTCTTCCTTTTTCATTTTTTTCCTAATTTTATTATTATTTTTACTATTATTTTTGAATAATATTTCTATACGAAATTATGTCTCAAATATTATATTCTTATGAAGATACTGAAATTCGTGAAGCTTCGACTTCGTTAAAGACGCTTCGTGTTGTCAATATATTATCTCTTATAGCGAGCTTCATCAGTAGCATTTATGCTTACATTCTTGACCCAAGAGAAATTGATCATAAATATAACAATATTTTTTCTCCGTCGATTGTTTTGATCTTAATTTTATGGCCCTTAATGTACTTTTTAAGATTTGGATTTGTTTTTTATACTCAATTTAGCAATGTTGCCATAGTTCAAGAAGTTGTGAATGAAAGTGTTGGTTGGTTATTTACATTGGCCAATCTTTTTATGCTTGGCTGGTTATGGTTTTGGGTTTGTATATCTTTGAATATTAATTCATTGCAAAGCAATTAAAGAATTTTGAAATTATTCTAATTTCATTCCTTCCTTTGATTCCAATTAGTTGCAATTGAACTTTGTTGGAAGTTCATTTTTTGCAACATTGACTCTCATGGTAGTAAGTCTTGCTCATTATAGACTTACAGTATATTATCCTCCAAATGAACTACCTTCTTCACAAGCCAAGAAAATATATATTTTTGCTCATGTCCCATTTGCAATATACGCAGCATTTTCATGGCTGGATTTATTCCATAATATTTATATGGCATTATTAAAATCTAATAATGATGATAATTATGCATTATTGGGAATTTTATTTGTTTGGATTATGGGAATTATTGGATTCGCGTGGACTGTTACCGGATTATTTAGTAACCGTCAAAGAGATGGGCTCTTTGGTCTTGCCATAGCCGCGTAAGTTTTTTTTTCTACCTAGTTGAATTTAGAATAAAGATAAATAAAAATATTAACTGGTGATTTCTTTCCCCTTATTTTTAGATGTCTAATCGATGTCGCAGTTAGAGAATGGGACATATTGTACTTGTCAATTCAAACTTCATTATTAGCTGGTTTAATTATATTATCCTTTATATCTATTTACGTTAAATCCGGATATAAGTTAAAAAGTGCTTTTAGTTCCCAATGGATAAGTAATCCAGGTAGTTTAAGGGAGCAAGCACCTTTATTACGGAATCAAACTTGACTATATGGAAACGAAGAATTTGTACAAGGAAATGCGGGTGCCGGATGGTTATTTCAATTAACTTTATTTTTCGAAAATTTTTTATTCTATTGTATTCATTAAAAAAAAAAAATATAATATATAAATATGTTTTTCCTAGAGCAATCACCCAACAAAAAAAAAATAAATAAATTCATATAAACAGGTGATAAAATTATAAAAATAAGAAATTGTGCAATATCTATATTAGTCGCACCAATGCATATATCATAAGTACCTCTTATCAGTACATGTATTAAATAGGGGGTGATGATTTATGCAGTGATACAAATATCCCCTAAACCTTGTTGATAAATCGTTTTTTTAAGGCGTTTTCTTGCATAAGTCATTTAAAGAAAAACTTTATTTTCTTTCTTGTTAATTTGAAAGAGAGTTGAGAAATGGACCCTAGACCTTTACCGCCTGGATTTATTTCTGAATTTGATCCCAACACGCAACGTTATTATTATATTGGTATGTAAAGAATAATAAATTTATTGTGAATTCAGTGAAAACAAAAAAATTTACCAAGCTAAAAAAAGAAATATTTATTTCAATATGCAGATAAGAGTACAGGAAACTCTCAATGGAATCACCCACTTGACATGAAACCACCTTTACAACCAATGATAGAACAAACTTCAAGTCAATATCCTCAACAATTCCCATCACCTATTAATCAACAAGGTCATTATCCGCTTGGGTTTACAGATACAAGTCTTCTTCCTTCATCTGACCAACGATCAACATCGTCATTCCCACAACCGTCGAATTATCCTCCCATCACATATGGAGACCAAACGCCTACATCAAAAGGTTATAATACAAATCCTTATCCAATGATGCAACAACAACAACAACAACAATATTCTTCAACTAGCCCATATCCGCAACCTACATCATCCAATTATCCACCACCTTATCCACAACCCGGGCCTGAACTTTACCCTCAATCACGTCAGTCAAATTATCCTCCTTACGGTGAAGCTCAAACTTATGTAGGTGGTCCGTCTCGTTCACATGATAATCATGGACCGGAGGATAAAGGAATAGGTAAAGTATTATTAGGTGCAGGAGGAGGTAAAGTATTATTAGGTGCGGGAGGAGGTTTGCTAGCCGGAAAATATGCCAAAAAGAAATTCAAAAAGAAATTTAAAGGATGGAAGGGGGGTAAAGGTTGGAAGGGTAAGGGTGGTTGGAAAGGTTGGAAATAGTAAAAGAATCAAATAATTTGTTTAAAAAGGAGTACATAAATTTAAAGAGTAAACAAAAGAAAAAAAAAGAAAAAAGAGATAAATTAAATTTCTTTTAAAGGTGAAGAACTTCAATTTGGGCGTTAAAGAGGATATATTTATTATTATAGATGAATCAATCCGTTGCAGACGCGTGTTGCGCATGCACACAGATGATATGTGAGAATATGTCATCCACAAAAATTAATGTCCGTGACCTATAAGATCAAACAAGATATCAAACATGTTAATAGTGTGACAAATAAAATAACAAATATTTTGGAGATTTTATTCTTAATTTTTAAATTAACTTTAAATATTTTTTTTTTTTACCCCAAATTTTACGTAAAAAAAATATGCCGAGTTTGATCATCGAGAAACATATTGAGAAACATCTATAGATCTATTCTTAAGTAAGTCAATAACGAAATGAATATGAACTCGGAATTTTTTGAAATTCGTCCAATCCTTTATTTAGAAAAGGATCAATAAAGCAAGACTGGTTGGTTTTAAAAGAACACGATCTTTAAAAAATTTTTAAAACCACTTAATACATCAATGGAACACTTAAGGGAACAATATAAAGAAATATCTTTCGGCAGGAGAAAGTCGTTGTTCAACTATTATTAAATTATATGCTTAAGATTTCGTGGCCTGTTGTACATAATATATCTCTCTTTGTGATATACCAAAAATGGTTCCAGATACAGAAAGAAGGTTATCCTTAATATTGTCAAGAGGGGAGATACCATTTTCTTTTAACTTATTAGGAAGAGAATTTTAAGGCTTATATAAATAAAATAATATAATGATGATTTTTATTATTTAAACACCTACTTTCCCCCCCAAAAAAATATCTCACAATTTTTACACAAATAAAAAAAAACTCGGCGGAATTAAAAAAAAAAAAAAAAATTCTTTTCTATAGAACCTAGACTTACTATATTTTAATTAGATTTTTTTTCTTAGCTGGTGCTAAAAAAAAAATTTTAAATATCATTTATTATATAAATAAAATATATATAAAAAAATGCTCCTTAAATTGTTATCCAAGTTATCTGTCCCGACACTTCACTTCCAATCTCGTCCTATATTAACGCCACCGAATAAGTTTACAACACTATATCCAACCTTATCACCGGAAGCAGCTTCAAGAACTGCAAATCGTTTTAGCGTGATGTCGTTTGCTTCTACAGTTGAAGCAGAAATTAATTCCTGGTCGTCATCTCCTAATGAACCTTCTACCCCTGTAAATGAAATTGAGGAAATTATACCCTTAATATCTATAAATGTCGAGCAAGAAATTCATAGAGTTGCTTATAAAACGTTACAACAATGTATTGATCTATTAAGAAATTTACATAGTGATGATAGTTATGTTTTTGAAAGTAAATTTATCCCTAACAGTACTATTGGGAAACACGTAAGGTAAGAAGATCAAAATTCGTAATTATGGCAGAAAAAAAAGATTAATTTACCTTTTTTTTTTGTTGCAACAGACATTTATATGAACATTTCCAGTTACTACTCGAGTCCAAGCCATTGAAAGCGAGAAGATTCGTATCAGAACAACTGGATCATGATGATTATCATTATGATGAACCGAAAGGAGTTAACACAAAGCTTTGGGCTGTAGATTACGATGATAGGTCAAGAGATGTAAGTTGTACCACCTTGTTCCCTTTTTGACGGTTTGGGGTAAATCCTAGATTTTAACCCTTTTTATTTATTATTATTATTAGATCCCAGTAGAAACATTACGGCTAACAGCCATAAAACAACTCGAACGTTTACAAGATACAATCTTAAATGATAGCATTTTGATACCTCTTAATACTCCAATTCAAATTAATGCCACGGTTGATTCCGAAATGTTAATGGATCCAATCCCATTACAATCTACTTATGGTAGAGAATTATGGTTTTGTTGTCACCACGCGGTAAATTATCTTTATTCTTTTTATTTACACTTTCTCTCATCATAAAAATCGTCTATTTACCAAATATTTTTTTACTTTGTTGTTCATTTTAGATTCATCACTTCGCCTTGATTAGAGTGATTTGTACAGAACAAAACATTGTAGTTCCTGAAGATTTTGGTGTCGCTCCTTCCACGCTAAAGAAAAGGTATGAATTAGAGCTCGTGGAAAAAGAGTAAACCGATTAAATTTGAGCGTTATATAATAATTTGTACATTTAAATATTATTTAAAAATGTTACATGTTAGTGTTAAATCTTAATGAGATTTATTTTAAATTAATGTAGAAAGTTTTTCTTTGTAATATATATTTTTTTTTCAAACAATTTTTAATAATTTAATATAAAAAAAAAAAAAAATTTAAAAATCTTCAAATCCATTGTAGTAAGCATTTATAGTTTGATTTGATATCGACACATTCAAATAATTTAATTATCGTCACAACAAAGATAAAATATTTGAAAATCATTCAGAATCTGTGCAACTACTACCTCCCCAAAATGGAAAAAAAATAGTTGATCGTCCTACATATAAAGTTCTTTCTTATATAATGTTTCACAATAAAGCTCTTTCTTTCTTAATATGGATTATATGGATTGAAAATTACAAATAAATTATTTTAAATTACGAAAAATCAAATTTTTCCTATTCCTTTGTCTTTTTCTTTTTTTTTTAAAAACCTCGAAATATTATTTTTTTTGATATAGAAATTTTAAAGTATAAAAAAAAAAGTAAGAAATAAATCACGTATACATAGTGTTTTTGATTAATATTAATAAGCTTAAATTTTATTTTAGTTTATTTTATTTTTAATTAACTACGTAATTTATCCATAACTTATAATGCATTATTTTTAGATACTATCAATTGTTTCTTTAAAAGTCTCCTTCTCCGGCGTTGTCATTCCACCGGAAGAACTTGAAGAAGGCGACGTTGATAACATCATCATTCCTTCGGCAGCAATTGCTGTTCTTTCGGAATAGTTTTGAACGGTGTAAGAAAAATCGTTCAATTTCTTGAATTTGTTGAAAGAAATTGATTCCAACGGTGATGACTTTGGTGTTGTCAATGTTGGGCTTTCAATGAAACTAATCCAATTAGGTTCTTGTATAATCGGTGGAGCTATTCGTTGGATTGAAGATAATGAGATTTTAGGTTGTATTTTGCGTGTCGCCCTTTTTGGTAATATCTTCTTTTTCGTAGGATACATATTATCAGAATCAGAATCAGTTTCAACGAGTTGATTTGAGCAAACAATTTTATCGCGTGAAATTGATTTCCCTTCAATGACATTTTCTCCAATACTATTAAGTACGCCAAAACTGGATTTGGTTCTTGAAACATATCGAAATCTCTGTCTCTTTTGCTTTTCATCATAATTTTTTATACATTCACTGAACGGTTGTTTCACTCCACCATTATTATCCTTGAATTCAACATATTCCACCAACCTTCTCGCGTTTTGTGATAATCTCTATTTATATATAATAAATATCATTTGCTAATTGGGAAATTTGATAAACAAAAAAAAAAGGAAATCAACGCGTCTTTTTCAATTATGTTACCTCTTTTACTTCTTCATCAAGCTGATCAAACAAGAAAGGATTCTCACACAAACCATTACAAATTGTCTTGAGAAAAGGTTTTTCATACCCGCCTTCCATCTTGTCAAGCTCACCTTCTGCTTCTTCCATATGAAAATTATGAGGACGTTTACTACCAGGTAATTTCCCCATCATGAAAAAATGATAAAAGAAAAAAAAAAAGAAAAAAAGAAAGGAAAGTTGTGTTGTCGATTATCTTCCAGACGTTGAATGTGGATAAATTGAGCTATAAATTTCCGAGGTAAAAAAAAAAATTTTTTTAAAAAAAAAAGTTATTAAGAAAATTTTTTTTATTTACGTGTTAGTCCACATCAGTTATTGGAAGAATTCTAACCTTTTCTTTTTTTATGTTATTAATAATAAAAAAATATATATATACTATTATGACTAATTATATTAATAAATATGTGGTTAAAGGGGGAAAGAGAGGGGAAAAAAAGGAATTTGGCCTTTCCTTTTATATTTGAAAATTCGCGTTACTTGAAAGATTTTTTTTTTTTTAAACTAATAATAATAGTGTTTATTTTGTTGATGCGTCACGTGTTGATCTGATCTCGTGTAACTGAGGTTCATTATGCCTTTTCGGCAAATCCTGGTAAACGCGCGGTAACATTGCGGTGAGAAGAAAATTCTCACAATAGATCGCGGATTAGCTATTACATGACATGGATATGCAGTATATTAACTATTAATTACAATATCTTTTTCTAAAAAAAATCTTACGAAACGCGTTTTAAAGTATGACATAAACGCGTAAAAAGGAAACCCGCGAGAAGCTACGCATATATAATGAAAAAAAAATATTTTACATTGTACGCGTTATGCGTACAACAGATAAATCTCTCCATGTTGTGCACTGATTTTTTTTTTTTTTTTTTTCTTAATGTTATTATAAATCCACATATTTGTAAGAATGTAAGAATGTAAGTTAAAAGAACAAAAAAAAAAAAGCCGAGAAAAGAAATTTTTTACGACTCGTGTTTTTTGAATTACAAAATCAATGACAATTATGACGTATATGAAGTACAATAACGTCACGAACGTTTATGCCGATCATTCGGTTATATCATGTGATAATAGTGGAAGTTAAATTATGATCCATATAAAAAAAAAATCTCCAAAAATAATAAATACAACCTTTACCTCAAAAATTCTCTTGAAACATGGGTAAACACGAATTCTTGACACCAAAAGCCATCGCAAACAGAATCAAGGTTTGTATTATTTTTTTTAAACTGAGCTCTAAATTTTTAAACGGACTCAATTTTATTAACAGATCATCCTTTTTCTTTTATTTTGTTCTAAAAAGGCAAAAGGCCTTCAAAAGTTGAAATGGTACTGTCAAATGTGTCAAAAGCAATGTCGTGACGAAAACGGTTATCAAGTTTGTGAACCTATATTCCTTGTTAAATTTCATGAATTGTATAGATCTAGGTTTTTAACTGAAACTTTTTTTTTTATCTAGTGTCATATTCGTTCTGAATCTCATCTTCGTCAAATGGATCTTTTGAAAGAAAGTCCTTCTACGTACATGCATGGATATTCCAAGCAGTTTCAAGACGATTTTGTTAAATTACTCTCACGAAGGTCAATGTTTACAACATTTTCATTCATTAAAAAAATAAAAAATAAAAAAAAACGAAAAAAAAATTACTAATTCAACTCTTTAATTCATTAGATGGGGAACGAAACGTGTCCATTCCAATCTTGTTTATCAAGAATATATCGCTGATAGACATCACGTACATATGAATGGTACGATATGGGAATCTCTGACAGATTTCGTAAAACATCTTGGGAAAGAAGGTATTTGTCAAGTTGATGATACACAAAAAGGATGGTTTGTCACCTGGATTGATAATAGTCCAAAGGCATTGGCAAGACAGGTACTTAAAAACAATTGTTCTAAGCTGCTGGATAATTTTTTTTTTTTTTTAAAAAAAAAAAAATAAAAATAATAATTGTCTTATTTATTAGGAGGCTATTATGAAAAAAGAACGCTCTGAAAAAGATGAAGAAGAGAGGACTCGAAAATTAATAGAGGATCAAATTGAAAGAGCGAAAAAAGAGGCAGCAGATTTAGGTTTAGATGAAAAGGTATTGTAAAAAGTTGAGGCTTTTTTTTTTAAATTGCACGTTGCATTATGCTAATGTATACATGTTCTTCTCCTCCTCCTTCAAGGAAACATACACGGATCTTAAACGTGAATCGGAAGAAGAAAAGATCAAACTTAATCTTTCATTGGCAAAACCAGCTAATTCAAATACAACAGATAAGAATGATTCGGTTGCAGAAGATACTAACGTTACTGTTCCTACATCTAATCATACTAGCATATCCTTTAATAAACCTTCAGCACAAAAAAAATCTCTCAGCTCATTAGTCAAAAAGTCAAATCCTATTGCTACACATAAGAAGGAAAAGGAAAAAGAACAACCGAAAAAGTTGTCTGCAATGGAAGAAATTATCATTGAAGAAATGGAAAAAAAGAAGAGAATGGAAAATTTTAAATTAAATGGAATTAATAAATTAAATGGAAATAAAGGAGATAATCGACGAAAAGAAGATTATAAAGATAATCGTGATCGTGATTATGCAGATAGGGAGATAAGAGAAAGAGATCATAGAGATTATAAAGACAATCGAAGGGATTATAGAGATAGGGACAGGGAACGGGACAGGGGTCATAAAGAAAAAGATCGAGAATATAGAGAAAAAGAGAGAGATAGGGAAAGATACAAACAATATGATCGGGAATCAAAAAGAGTTCGTAGGGATTAGAGCGAATCCTGAAATTTTTCAAAGGGTTCTTTTTTTATTATTATTTTTAACATCAAACTTTGCCATTCTCAATTATTATAAAAGGGGAAATAGATATATATTATTTAAAAATTCATACCTCAAATTCATATAATTAGTAGTTTAATTTAAGAGTTGAAGCTGCATATTTGTGATGAAAACTATTGAGAGAATTGCTTGTAACAAAAATAATATTATATATTTGATTGTGCTTTAGTTGGTTAAATTATGTGTCTGATTTTAACTTAAAATATAATAAAAAATAATAATTTTGCGAGTCAAACACAAGAAACATTTAATTAATCCCGACACAAATCCTTGAATTTGAAGAACTTTCTTTGACTCGATTACTGGATATTCAATCTCTTCTTTAGATGAATCATTTTGCCAATCATATTTTATATTATCACATCATTCACATTCACTATTATATTTAATTAATGTCGATCTTATGCTGATCAGCATAGCGGTCATGCACATTTTGCAGATCATTTTGCCGATCATTTGCCGATCATTTTTCATTTTATCACATATAATAAACACCGTAAAAAT